GCGGGTGGTGCTCCGGGCGAAGCCGGTCCGGCGGTGTGCTCGATTGAGGGTACCGATCGAGGCTGAGGGGACGCACTAGCCGGTAGGCTGCCAAGGTTGAGAAACACTGCTCTAGAATGCAATATGATAGGCTAGACAAAATAGATTGTTTTGAGGGGTTTTAGATACAGTATTCTCTCATTTTTGGATCTAAGAATGAAGCTTGTTGAACCTGCTGCAATTTTTGTAGACACCCCAGACTAAAAAGATTTAGTTTGCTAATCAACAGCCATGCCAGAGGCACACAGAAAGGAAAACTGGGCCTTTACAAGCTGTCACACTACTGTTGTTGCTTTTCATAAAATGGGCTTGCAAACCTCATTTTTAAATGAATGTGTCTGTTGAAAGAGAACTAGAGAGAGTAAACCTGTGGAAGATTATGAGAGAACGGCTATGAAAATGGAAATAGTAGCATTTCAAGAAACAACCATGATGCCTGGTTTGTACAAAATGAATTCGATCCAGAAGAAACAAAGGCCTTCTTCACGTACCATACAAAGCCACAAATTTATTACACTAAATGAACCCCTGTTTCGGTTAGATTGATATATCAAACCATAAACCATGGCGCTTGATTCACACTTCATGAATGTGACTTGTTCAATTTTGGCCTAGAGGGACGTGTACCTTTAGCAAACTAAATCCAGCAATCCATGGTTAAGCGAAGCATATCTTAGTGCATGTTATGAACCTTAGTACTTTTTTCAAACTGTCATAAGATATGATAGCCAGAACCTTTGGTGTTTTTAAAGGGGACTGGACAAGATTCAGAGGGAGGAGGAAAGATTTATTATCAGCTATTAACAACTAAAACAGTGTTTTTTTGTTGAGGCGCACAACGGCGGAGCAGAGAAGTGACACGCACCATCGTGAGCATCGAGACTTCCTCTTCTGCACAATGACGTCGTGATGCAGGGGGCCTCATCACGGCCTGCCCTACACACACACTGTGCCGATTTTATGCCCATAAAATCTTTTTATTATTTGTTATAAAATATAATACAGAGTCGCTGTGCCCATCACTGGTGGAACATGAAATCGCTGTTGCAAAGTAACTCAAACGACACGTATGTTTACATTCGTCTCAGTGAAGACTCCGTCAGTTAGCCCTTTCAAAGGCGAAAGCCACTCGCCCGTTAGGAAGTAAGAGTCTTTGGGAACACAGCAGCACAGAAACCGTAGCAAAGGAAATCATGAGTCAGCCAGTAAATAAATAAATAATAAATAAATAGCTCTTCTCTTTACAGATGGACCCTTTTGCTTTCCTGTCTCTCAAGCCTGGCCATTTCGCAGGTAAGACACGAATCAAAGGCCAGGTGAGTCAATGAAATAAACCTGGTTTGGGACTTGGCATGTGCATGGTGAGATGAATATTTGAAAGTTCCTCTGTTGGAGAACCAAAGCAGACTTGTTGACCCTTGGAAATCTAGCATACCAAGGAGACACTTTAGCCCCCGCTTCCCCCATACACAAATCAGCCTGGCATGGAAAGGAGAATCAGGTCACATTGGCTGCAGTGTCAATGACTCTAAATTCTGCAGCCCCACACCTAGGAGTCAAAACTGGTTTCAGAAGTCCTTTTTCTAGTCTTAGTTGACTCTCCTTTGCTTACTAGAGATGCTAACCCAAAACATTCCATGATGATTCAGCATTAGGATTGGCAAGGAAACCATGGTAATGCAGAACATCTCCCAGTTTCCAGTAGCGGTGAATATGTGTAGCTCAGGGTTGAACCGTGGAGTTCTCTGAGCTTGGTTCTTTTCTTGCAAACATTTCATTACCCGGCTAGGTAACCCCAAGGACTCCACATCTTCCAGTTTATATTCTGGAAGGGGGCAAAGGTGGAGAGAGGGATTTGGAGGGTTATCTGGAAGGACAGGCCTGAGGATGGATGGATGGATGGATGGATGGATGGATGGATGGATGGATGGATGGATGGATGGATATTCTCTATACATTTACTGCCAGTGGCCTATAGGTTCACTGTTCTCCTAAGAGGACCCATGAAGAACCCGTTCTAAATTGTTTAACAGCCTGCACTCTGCTGTTCCATATCTTGCCCATGTTTCATCTGGTCACATTAGCTCAGATACACAGAGATAGAGAAGAGGTGGAAAAATCCAAACCAGGAAAAGTTTGGAAGTGGCAATCAACCCATGAGATTCTTTAGAAATGCCCCTGGGTTAATGGGATTATGCTTTAATTTTGAAGAATAGAAAGATTATCAGAAAAGGTTCCCCACAACAGGAGGGTGTGCAACATATTCCACTAAGCATAAACATTTGCACAGGGCTGAAACAGGAATCAACTCTACTCTGGCTTGCAACATATGATGCATCTCTCTATGTATCATACTTATTTCCCATCCTTCCTGCAAATTGCTCAGGATACCAACTGTGATGGTGGTCTCATTTCATCCTCAAACAGCTCTGTGAAGTAGGGTAGCTTCAGAGAAGACCAGCATCAGCCAACTGAGTGTCACGGTTGAGCAGGGATGTGATCCTGGATTTCTCCAGACTTAGTCCTGTGATCTACCTACAACACTGCCTGGGCCCCTTCACTCTGATAGAGACCGTGATTCAAATGTGACCTTGCAGGTCCAGCCCAGGCTAATTATTGATGCTAAACCTTGAACAGGAGAACATGGAGTCAGTGACTCTTCAGATATCCATTGGTGTTCAGATTCACCTCTTTGTTCCACCAATCCTTCCAGGCCTGACATTTCTTAATGGTTTTGCGCCGGGCAAACCTGCAGATGTTTACCATGAAAACCCAAGACACTGCATACATGATGAGACCCCCAATCTTGATGAAGCACCTGGGCCTGGGTGACAACAAGACGCAGTACATCAGCCATGCCCCAACCCCGATCCTCACTCCTGCGAAAAGCACCACGAAGAGGAAGTCCACCACATCCCCTGTCAAGCTGGGGTATAGCCCCTTCTCCCGCAGAAACCAGCGGGCCTGCAGGAAGGGGTTGGTGAGCTCGCTGCCGAAGATGACGGCGTTGACCTCTGTGGCGGACTCACCTAAGGCGAGGGAGGCGCTGATGCCCAAGATGCTGACAGAGTGGTGGACCAGCATCAAGGGCCCTTCGGTCTGAAAGTAGACACACCAACCCAGGTCAAACAGGAAGTAGCCCAAGCTGATGCACAATGCGTGGACCTGAAGCACAGTATTTGGGGACCCTGGAGGAGAAGAAAGGGAATAGAGAAAAATCACGGCTGACACGCAGATCACTTAGTTACTAGGTTTCATTTTTTGAAAAAGACTGAATACTACCAGAGAATCAAGGATTTCATTTGGTTTGTTTTTAAAAGGATCTCATTTGGTGATTGATTCTACATAATTAGTCTGCCCCTCCACTGCTGGTAATGGGGCCATAATAATACAGGAAGTGGGCTACGATGATCAAGGGCAGGAGGGAGCAAAAAAAATTATGATAAGAGTGACAGGTTTGTACAAGATTGAAGGGCTGGTATTATTTATTCTTGTAAATGTTGTTATTGGATTTAACATTAAAGCATTTTTATTTCATCACATTAAGGAAAGAAAAATAGATGTTGGTAGGACTAGTTACAAATGTATATCATAAAATATATACAAGCTAATAAGGTCTACCTCTCCTATTTTGTTATGGTCAATAAAGAACTGAACACAGTATTGTAAACCTAGATGTAAGTCATTCCAAGAGTTCTGGTGGATTTATTTCCCTTCCCTTTCTGAATTGTCCTTAAAAAAGCAGTGGCTGATTTCCTGACCTCCAACTAGTCTTCAGTGGTGTGGTTTCATCATGGTTTGTGGTGGGAACCCAAGCAATAAAGGCAGAATCAGTGCCTGATTCTAGGTACAGTAAATAGACCGGACGTACCTGGGTGAGTCATTGGCCAGGGACCATCGATAAACCCAATGTAGCTGGAGAGGCAAGTGGCAAAGACCCCATGAGTCAACGTGACCAGTCGGCAGCTCCACTCGCAGCTGCGTTCTCTGTAGTGACGGCAGGACCACGCGTAGAGGGAGAGCCAGCCCCACAGGCTGAGGGCCACCCAAAGCATCATGGCCACCATCTTCTGCAATGGAATAGAAGGGAAATGTGGGAAGAAATAAATCCTTGCAAACGTTACAAATAGCAATACGACTGACAACCAATATATGCATCTACACAAACACACACACCCAAAGATCGCCATGGACAAGCCACAAAGACATCAGGAGGCCAACTTTCATGACATCGTTGGAGGCATGACACCATTATTTAAGGACATCATGATTCTGATGCAAAGAGGTCATTTAACAACAACAACAACAACAAAAAAGCAATTTATACGGCTGCCTGTCTCACTATTGCAATTCTGAGCAGTGAACAGCAAAACAACTCAGTTAATTAAACAAGGAATTATAACCACGATCAATCAATGTGCTAGAGGTCCAAAGAGATCATTCCATCTTACAATCAATAAAACAACAACAGCAGCAAAGCACCAACCCACAGGGCTCACTTAACACCCAGCTCAGGTGCTTAAATCCACTGAGTGATGATATCAAGCGTACAGAATTGGCCCTTCCTACAACCCCATGAATACCCATATAGATCTCTCCCTTCTGAAGATGGAGCAAACCCAACCCATCAGTCCCCAAGCTGGAGGACGGATATGCTCCGCAGTCAGGGAAACCCAAGGGTCAGTCGGAAAAAAAAAAAAAGGAAATATGGAACTGGAGCACCCTACAAATGGGATGGAGTCCTTTGAAGACAGGCATTCCTAGCTGGCTGGCATTCTAGGGAGAAATACTCCTGCAAGAAGATGAGAACATCTAGATACGTTTTTGAGACAGGTTCTTGACTTCTCCACTGGAGCGTTCCCATGCTGGTGCCGTATCAGCTGGGGATTATGGGAGTTCAAGTCTAACACCCTTGAAGGGCAGCAGTTTCCAGAAGGGAAAGCTGATCCATGAGATGGTGGGGCATAGGCAAGTATTAGCAATAAAAAGGACTCAAGGGAATTCCCCCCTCTCCCCAGTCCTAGGAACTGGTAAAGCAATTTTAACTGGGCAGCATCCTTAGATATTTCCATTCAGATCTGTGTTCAGCTTGGAGAAATACGGGCTAGGTGCATACATTGTGCGAAGGCATGATTTGGTGAGCAAGCCTGGTTCACGCCAAATATTAAACCAAGGGTGCCTCTTCCTTCCCTCCTACAAACCATGACTTCATCTATCACCCAAAGCTTTTGTAGGCGATCCCCTAAGCGGGGAATCTGAAATGTTTTCAACCCTGCCCAGGGGACACAAAGCGAGACTTTAAACGAGGCCTATTTAAAGTCAGAGAAAGCACCATTATGGGAATGTTGGTGAAGCCAACGACAGAACGAATAAATGGCTTGATTATATGCCATCACGTCGTTGTCGGTTCTTAGCAACCACATAGGTTTTCTCCATGACGATCTCTCTGTCTCTAACCTGGCCTTTCAGGTCTTCCAACGGTGACATAACAAATAATGAACATTAAATACCATCTACAAGTGGTGTTAGAGCAGTGTTTCTCAACCTTGGCAGCTTTAAGATGGGTGGACTTCTACTCCCAGAATTCCCCAG